GTCCAGGGCAAGGATACTGTAAAATCCCCATTTCCTCCCCAGTCCAGGGCAAGGATACTGTAAAATCCCCATTTCCTCCCCACTCCAGGGCAAGGATACTGTAAAATCTCCATTTCCTCCCAATCAGCTGAGACTCGGGAGGCAGAGAATAGATGGGGGCGGGGCCAGTCAGAGGTGGTATTTACTGGTTCTCTGAACTACTCAAAATTTCCGCTACCAGTTCTCCAGAACTGGTCAGAACCTGCTGATCACCACCTCTGCCAGGAGCCCATTTTCGCTGGCAGAGCACTCAGTCCACCATAGGCGGCCCCTGACACGAGTGACATCAAGCTGGCCATGCCCACTCCGCCCTCCCAAGGTCAAACACAAGCCTGATGTGGCCCTCAATGAAATCAAGTTTGCCATCCCTGGTATAAGGGTCTTCTACTTGAGTAGGGGGGGTTGGACTAGACGACCACCAAAGTCCCTTCCAACTCTGTTATTCTGTGTATTCCTTCTAACAGCCTTCCAGGGATCCAGGGAGGTTGGGAGTCTTTTCATGGATAATGGAGAAGCTTGTAGCTAGCTTTCTACACAACGTCTCTTGAATCTTGATCAGTCTGGCAAATAAGCAATGCAATACAGTGAATTCCTCAAGGCAACATTTTGCCTTTAGCACTCTGGAAAGCCACATCATGCGCTGTGATGCAAGGAAGCCAAAGTCCAGTCCATTCCCTCCTTCAAACACGGATTTGGAGCCCGATGGGCGATCTGTAATACTTCTTACCTATGAGCACTTCTTTCCTTTCCAGTATGTTTTTCTGGGGCAGTTGTGCTGCTGAATTCCCAGACTCTATGGTGTTGTCCAAGAGCCCTGGTTCCACTTTCTTTTTCAACCCCGGCTCAGCTGCAGGCGTGACCAGAGGCACCACTTCATTGCCGAGCTCAGTCTGAGCTACCTCTTCCTCCTCGTGGATCTCGAAGTCCCCACTGATGGGAACGTCAAGTTCATTCATTGTAACTGTGGAAAGCGTCGTTTCCATGGGTTCTGCCTGGAAGGGGGAGAGAGAGAGAGAAAAGAGAATACAGAAAGCAGGAAAATGAAATGATGCATTTTTTTTTCTCCAGCACTCAGCCAGGTTGATGAGCAAGGTGTCCACTACCTGGGTTGGCCTGAGATATAGGATGGCATACATAGATGACCTGCAGCATATAAGGACCTGTAGATGGGCTCTGGAGCATCCCGGAGTAGGAGGAACGAACGTTTCAACCCCAGGCTGTTTCATCTCTTTTGGGGATGAAAGAAAAGCCTTGAAGGAGACCCTTAAAAACTCAAAATGAGCACTGCCTGTTAAGCATTCGTCTTTTTCTATAGGAAGGAGGAAAAGAGGTAAAATGAAGAAATGGTTGCATCCAAGAAAAAAAAACACAAGGTATTCCTCCTTTGGTCATGAGCCTAAATCATCTTTAATTTGGCTATTCTTTTCCTTTAGGAGAAGAATGTCCCCCCCCCCTCTCTCTCTCCCACTCTCCCTCTCCCTCTCTCTCTCTCTATCTCTTTCTCTCTCTCTTTCTCTCTCTCTCTCTCTCCCACTCTCCCTCTCTCTCTCTCTTTCTCTCGCTCTCGCTCTCTCTCTTTCTCTCTCTCTCTCTCCCACTCTCCCTCTCTCTCTCTCTATCTCTTTCTCTCTCTCTTTCTTTCTCTCTCTCTCTCCCACTCTCCCTCTCCCTCTCTCTCTCTTTTTCTCTCTCTCTTTCTCTCTCTCTCCCACTCTCCCTCTCCCTCTCTATCTATCTCTTTCTCTCTCTCTTTCTCTCTCTCTCTCTCTCCCCCTCTCCCTCTCTCTCTCAGTCTTTCTCTCTCACTCAGTCGCTGTGTGTGTGTTTGTGTGTGTGTGTGTCTGCCTCTCTCTGTCTCTCTTAATCTCTGTCTGTGTGTGTGTGTGTCTATCTGTCTCTGTGTGTGTGTGTGTCTGTCTCTTTCTCTCTCTCTCNCCCCCCCCCGAAGCTACCTCTGATGTATTGTCTATTTCATTGGTTCTAAAGAAGGGCTTTCATGCTCCCAAAACTGATAGCCTTCCATAAAGCTTTGGAAAACTGGTTTTCTCCCCAGGGACTGGATCAGGGCATTAGATAGCCAGTTCTGTAAGGGTTATGAGAATGATTGTGGTTGCCTTTGGATGTATATACGAACATAAGGAGGGGGCTCTGCTGGATTGGACCCCTGACACATTCTAGTCTAGCAGCCTTTTGAAAGTTGAAAATTTGAAATTTATTTCTATTTATTTATGGCCAGTGACCAGAGAAGTCACTGCAACAATAAAAGCAGTGCATAAAAGCCGGCTCAGATACAAGAGCAAGGTGTTGCACAATAAATCAAGCATGGCGGGGGGGAGGAGGGGGAGAGAGAACTTTAAGGAGAATCTGTTTTTAAAAGCAGCAGGAGGAAAAGAAAAGAAAAAAGACTGTAAAAACAAGGGCTGTAGAAAGTTTGCTTTAGAAAGACGTTTGGGGACTGAATCAAATCTAGCTTTGGAAACGTATCAGATAAGATCAAATCGCTGAACTGAAAGTCTCAAAGTCAATTCTGAATCTGACTGGACCAAAAGGCATCCTCGCTCCCAGTAAAAATGGTTATGACGTGGGATATTTATGCTAAAAAAATTATGCACATGTAGGGGAATTACAAAGAAATGCTTTGAGTTAGGGAAAGTCAAAAACAGAAAGTGAATCTGGGTTTTTACAGTATAATGTTTTTTTAAAAAAAACCACTAGAAAGTTAGGCAACGATGGCTCACAAGTTTAGTGCAAGTTTAGGTATGTCAACTTTTCTCTTTAGCTGTGTGTTTCTCCTTCCTCTGCCTTTTTTCTCCCACGCTATAGTCTAGCTTCCATGATCAGATAGTCTGGCAGCTAGCTGCCTTAGATACAGATAAAGATTAACAGAGTTGGAACGGACCTTGTAGGTCATCTAGTCCAACCCCTGGCCCAAGCAGGAGACCCTACACCATTTGAGAGATGGCAGTCCATTCTCTTCTTGAAAGCTTCCAGTGATGAAGCTCCCACAACTTCTGAAGGCAACTTCCACTGGTTGATTGTTCTCACTGTCAGGAAATTTCTCCTCATTTCCAGGTTGAATCTCTCCTTGTTCAGTTTCCTTCTCTGGCCTTCAGATGCCTTGGAAAATAGCTTGACCCCCTTCCTCCTCTCTGTGGCAGCCCCTCAAATATTGGAACACTGCTATCATGTCTCCCCTGGTCCTTCTCTTCACTAGACTAACCATGCCTTGGTTGCAAGTCATGCATTCCAAGCAAGGCTCTGTATCTTCTTTAACGTTTATCGAGATTAAAGGGAGGAGAAGTGGTTATCAAAATTCGAGCCATGGAACTATTTCCTGTTAAGAATCATTGTATCACCACAGGTGTTAGGCTGGAGACTTTCTCTCTGTTTGAGGGGCAGCCACAAATAAGAGGGGACCAATCTATTTTCCAAAGCACCTGAGGGCAAGACAAGAAGCAATGGATAGAAACTAGTCAAGGAGAGAAGCAACCTAGAACTAAGGAAAAATTTCCTGACAGTGAGAACAATCAACCAGTGGAAGTTGCCTTCAGAAGTTGTGG